TAGATTTGGCTTTTGCAAATTTATTTTGATTGCCTTATTTTATTTAAAAATTTTACTGTATTTTTTCCATTACCATTTATCCCCCTTATATTCTCCTCCCCTCTGCATTCACCTCCCTGTTGTCCCTGTCTGTGAGTCATTTTTCCTTTTTACTTCATGCCTCCACCCCTGAACCATCCTCCCATAGATGTCATCTTGCTCTCTTTTTTTTGTTTTGCTTGTTATTTCAGTTTGTTCATTAGATTCCACATATGAATGAAATCATACGGTATTAGATTTCACTTGGCATAATGTTCTCCAGGTCCATTCATGCTGTTGCAACGGGTAAAATTTTCTCTTTTACAGCTGAGTAGTATTCCATTGTGTAAATATCCCAATTGTTTTATCCACTCATCTACTGATGGACACTTGGGCTGCTTCCGAATCTTGGCGATTGTAAATAATGCTACAATGAAAATAATGGCACTTAGGTTTTTAGAATTAGTGTTTTGGGTTCCTTTGGATATATTTCCAGAAGTGGGATCACTGGGTCAAAAGGGAGATCCATTTTTAATTTTTTAGGTATCTCTAAACTACTTTCCACAGTGGCTGCACTAACCTGCATTTCCAAGAACAGTGGAAAAGTGTTCCCCTTTCTCCACATCCTTACCACCACTTGTTTGTTGATTTATTAATGATAGCCATTCTGACCTGGGTGAGGTGATACCATATTGTGACTTTAATTTTCATTTCTCTGGTGATGATTGACATTGGACATGTTTTCATATGACTGTAGGTGATGTGCATTTCCTTTTTAGAGAAGTGTCTATTCAGGCCCTTTTCCCATTTTTTAATTGGATTGTGTGGGGTTTTTTTGATGTTCAGTTTTAAAAGTTCTTTATATATTTTGATTATTAACTTCTTTTCCAAGATGTATTGGTGAGTGTATTCTCCCATTCTGTGGGTTGTCTTTTTGCTTTGTTGATGGTTTCCTTTGCTGTGCAAAACATTTTAGTTTGATGTAGTCCTATGTGTTTACTTTTACTTTTGTTTCCCTTGCCTGAGGAGATATATCAGAAAAAGTACTGCTACAAGCAATGTTTGAGATTTTATTGCATATGTTTTCTTCTAGGATTCTTTTTTATGGTTTCGAGTCTCACATTTAAGTCTTTAATCCTTTTTTGAATTTATTCTTATGTGAAGTTTAAGGAGGTGGTCTAGTTTCATTTTTATGCATGTATCTGTCCAGTTTTCCCAACACCATTTATTGGATAAACTATCTTTAGCCCATTGTACATGCTTTCTTCCTCTGCTGAATATTGACTATAAAGGTGTGGGTTTATTTTGGGGCCCTCTCTTTTGTTCCATTGATCTGTATGTCTGGTTTTATGCCATTACCATGCTGTTTTGATTACTATGGCCTTATATTATACTTCGGTATTAGGTAGCGTGATTCTTCTACTTTCTTCTTTCTCAGGGTTGCTGTTGCTATGCAGGGCCCTTTATGGTTCCATATAAGTTTTTTAAATATTTGTTCTAGTTCTGTAAAATACATCATTGGAATCTTGATGGGAATTGCAGTGAATCTGTATATTGCTTTGGGTAGGATGGACATTTTAGCGATGTTAATTCTTTCTTCCCATGAACATGGTATGTGGTTCCACTTATTTGTTTCTTCAGTGTCCTATATTATTTGAGTATAGGTTTTTACATCCTTGGTTAGATTTATTACTAGGTATTTTATACTTCTGGAAGCAATTGTGATCTCATATTTTTGTTTTTAACGTTGATAGGATTATTTCTGTAGAAATTGTTAAGGTGTTAGCTTGTTGGACATATGAAATTTTAGTTTATAAAATTATAAAAATATGTTTATAAAAATATATCTAAAAACTTTTAAACATTTCGTCTCACATAATTATTTAAAAGTTGATATAAATGGCATTTTAAAAGACATTATTTTTGGATATTTAGTAATTTCAACAATTGTTGAGATGTTTCTGAAACCATCAACTTCCATGCTCAATGGAAGTTATATTCCTAAAAATATTTTAATTAGAAAAAATTTTTTATTACATTATATTGATTATTCTATTACAGTTGTCCTGACAACTTACAGTTTTCCTGGGTGCCCCTCCATCTGCAACAACACTGTGTCAGGCAGTCTTGCCACCACTGTTCATGTGCATTGGTCATGTAAATGACCAATTGATCAAGTTCTTTAGCTACTCCATTTCCTGTGCTGTACTTTACATTCCCATGGCTATTCGATAACTGCCTATTTGTACTTCTTAATCCTCTCATCTCTTCACCCATTTCCCCACACCACCTCCCATCTGACAACCATCAAAATGCTCTCTGTACCCATGATTCTATCGCTGTACTTGTTTGCTTACTTTGTCTTTTAGATTCCATTATTACTAGATTTGTATATTTTGCCATTTTATTGTTCATAGTTTTTATCTTCTTTTTCTTAAATAAGTCCCTTGAACATTTCATATGATACTGGTTTGGTGATGATGAACTCCTTTAATTTTTTCTTGTTTGGGAAGCTCTTTATCTGCCCTTTAATTTTAAATGATAGCTTTGCTGTGTAGAGCAATCTTTGCTGTAGGCCCCTTCTTTTCATGGCTTTGAATATTTCTTGCCAGTCTCTTTTGCCTGCAAAATTTCTTTTGAGAAATCAGGTGACAGTCTTATGGGAACTTGCCTATAGGTAACTAACTTCTTTTTCTCTTGCTGCTTTTAAGATTCTCTCTTTATCTTTAACCTTTGGCATTTTCATAATGAGTGTCTTAGAGTGGGCTTCTTTGCATCCATCTTGTTTGGAAATCTCTGCTTCCTGGACTTGCATGTTTATTTCCTTCACCAAATTAGGGACGTTCTCTTTTATTATTTTTTCACATAGATTTCCAATTTCTTGCTCTTTCTCTACTCCTTCTGGCAGCCTTATGATGTGAATGTTAGACCACTTGAAGTTATCTCAGAGGCTACTTATACCGTCCCTGTTTTGGGGGATTCTTTTTACTTTTTCTTGTTCTGATTGGTTCTTTTTTGCCTACTTATGTTCCAGTCATTAGTCTGTTCTTGGCTTCGTGCACTCTGCTGTTGTTTCCCTGTAAATTGTTCTTTATTTCAATTAGTATAGGCTTTGTTTTTGACTGGATCTTTTTTATGCTGCCAAGGTCCTCACTAAGTTCCTTGAGTATCCTTATAACCAATGTTTTGAATTCTGCATCTGATAGATTGTTTATCTCCATTTTGTTTAGCTCTTTTTCTGGAGTTTTGATCTGTTCTTTCATTTGGGCCATGTTTCTTTGTCTCCGTGTTTCGGCAGCCTCCTGTGTTTGTTTCTGTGTATTAGGTAGAGCTGCTTTGACTCCATGTCTTGGTAGTGTGGACTAATGTAGTAGGTGTCCTATAGGGTCCAGTGGCACAGCCTCCACTATCTCCCAAGCTGGGTAGTTGAGGTGCCTTTCATGTGGACTGAACACACCCTCCTCTTGTAGTTGAGCCTTGGTTGGTGTTGGCAGATCAATGGGAGGGATTTACCCAGGCCAGTTAGTTGCAAGGATTGGTTGTGGCAACTTACTACCAACCTCTGCCCTCTGTGGAGGATCAACAGTCCTGAGGCCCACTCCACAGAACAGGACTTACTTCATTAGGACTTTAGTACCTGCTTACTCTGCCCCTTGAGGGTGTCATTTGTGGAAGTGTTTGGGTGGTGGTGCTCCGCTGTGGTCGGTAGCTCTCCAATGGATGCATAGGTTCTGGGGGTTCCCAGGAGGTCGAGGTGCAGTGCAGGGTCAGCCACTGCTTGTGTTCTATCTGGGTCACTTGGCATAAGCTATAAAGCAATCTGCAGATGGGTGGTACTTGTGCTGGGCTTAGGAGTGCCCAAGCATGGCCAGCCTGTGAACCAAGGCCAGCTGCTGCTAGTGCCAGGCCTGGGGTTTACTGAACCCAGCTGTTCCTAGTTTGAGGGGATTTAGGAAGTTGTACAGCATAAGCCAAGACCAGCCATTCATATTGAAAAGCAGCTTGGGTGGGCCCATAAATTGGGTGGGGTGGAATGTCTGGGGATTTCCAAGGTGGGTCAAACAGTGTTAGTCAGGTTGATGAGTCTCACATATGGCACCAACTTGCTGACTTTTGGCGGGGAGGGTTTAAAAAAGGGATAGTAGTTTCTGCTCACCTTGATGTCAGGCACTTTGGTTCTTCTTTTTATGTCACTGTTGCCTTTAAAGATGCTACCCCAGTGTTGGTGCACAGAGGGAGTGAGTCTGAGTTGGTGAATACATGTGTGGGTTCTTTAAGAGGAACTGTTTGTGGCTCCAGCAGTTTCTTCCACTGACTCAATGCATGCTAGTTTTTGCAGCTAGAAGTTGTGGCGACTTATCTTCCTGGCCCTGGAACCCTGGTCTGGGGTGCTTCATGTGGGGCTGGGTCTCCTTGCTCCCAAGATACCCATCCTGAATTTTTATTCACCACACATGGGTGAGGTACTAGCCCATTCCTCGTCTGCACACTTCCTACCAGTTTCGATGGATGTGTGTGTTTTTTTTAATCCGTAGTTGTCAGATTTACATTCAACTTGATTTCTGACAGTTCTGGGTGATTTTTTTTTTGTATTTTAGTTGTAATTTTGATGTGGTTGTACAAAGATTTGAGCTGTGCCTGCCTATATCACTGTCTTGAATGGAAGTCCTTTAAAGTTTTTAGATGAGTGTGTGTCTATGAATGTTCACTACCACTCAAGAATGAAGTCAATCCTTTTCTTTTCCAGTCATGTAATAGTGTCCCTAAAATTTTCTACATTTGTCTTAAATTAGCTGACATAAGTAACATAATTACCTCATATTTCTTGATTCTATTTTTTGGTTCAGAAACAACCAAAATCTTCAAGGAAATTTAAAGACTAATTAAAACTTCATTTTATTAAGAAACCAAACAGATTGCAAAACGTGCTAGGGGAAAATTACAGTCTCTTTCTATTAGGCTACTCACTGATTTATATTTAGGTGATGCAAAGACTTTCTGGATGAAGCTGGAAGATGATGGAAAAGTAGACATGATATTTGAGCAAGTACAAAATGTGCTGCAGTCACTGAAGCAAAAGATCAAAGATGGGTCTGCCACAAGTAACGGTATGAAGCAATAAAAACTTTCAGTATATGCAATGCTTAATGGTACCCCTGACATACTGTAAAATTCCATTTCCAGTGTTGTTTGTTTTATTTATTTATTTTTAATTGTATTTTATTGATTATGCTATTACAGTTTTCCTATTTATTTTTCCCTTTGCTCCTCTACACCTAGCACACCCCACTCCCTCAGGCAATCCCCACACCATTGTTCATGTCCATGGGTCATGTATATAAGTTCTTTGACTACTCCATTTCCTATGCTGTGTTTTCCATCCCCAGGACTATTCTCTAACTACCAATTTGTATGTCTTAATCTCTTCACCTTTACATCCATTCCCCCAGACTCCCCTCCCCTCTGGTAACCATCAAAATGCTCTCTGTATCTGTGTGTCTGTTTATGTTCTGCTTCCCTCCCTTAGTTTCTTTTTTAGATTCAATTGCTGATAGATATGTATTACCATTTTATTGTTCATAGCTTTTATCTTCTTTGTCTTAAATAGCTGCTAGTGCCCAGCCTGGATCCATTTAGTGATAGGTACAGAGGCTTGCGGAGACCAGCTGTGAGGGTTTAGGAAGATCAGAAACATGAGCCAAGACAAGCATTCATATGGAAAAGCCACTGTTAACAGCTTTGTTGGGTCTGTAAATTGGGTGGGGCTGAGCCTCAGGGAATCACCAGGGCTAGCAAACAGTGTTAGCTAGATACAGGTTATCTCAGATACAGTACCTGCCTGCTGGCTGTGTGGCTCTGTGGCTCTGTGTTGGGGGGGTGGTTACAAAAAAGAAACAATGGTTTCTGCCTGCAGTTTTGTCTGGGAGAAAACTGTCCCCAGCTCTTGCCCTGATGCCAGATACTTCATTTCCTCTCCATATCCTACTGGTGCCTTTCAGGCTGTTGCCCCAGTGCTCAGCTCAGAAGGAAGTAAGTCAGAGTAAGTCTGTGTGTGAGTCTTTTAAAGGTAACTGCTTGGGAATCCAGCAGTTTCTTCCATCTACTCAGTCCCTGGTGGGTTTACAGCCAGAAGTTATTGGGGCTTATCTTCCTGGCAGTGGAACTCTGGGTTGGGGTCTCTTGCTCCCAGGATATCCCTATAGATTTTTATCCACCACACATATTTTACTGGCCCATTCCACATCTCTTGTATCTCTGCCCCTCCTACCAGTCTGGATAGATGTGGTTTCTTCTTTAATTCCTTAGTTGTAGGACTTCTATTCAGCTTGATTTCTGTTGGTTCTGATACCACATCTGATAGTGTAGTTGTAATTTTGATGTGGTTAGGTAAGGAGGCAAGGTGTGCTTACCTAATGTCACCATCTTGGGCAAGGCTCCTGTTGTTTGTTTTAAAAATCAAGTGATTTTTTCATCATCTAAAATCCTAACATCAGTTCTGTTTGCCTTTTTATATGTGTTTGTTTTTATATGTATTGCCTTTATGTGTGTTTGGTCTGCTTCTATACAATCTTGCTTTTACCATACCATGGCCATATTGTAAAAATGGAGAAGATGCTTACTTTGAATAGCTACTAAATATATCTCTAACTCAGGCTATTTTTTACCCCACCCCATTTTCTTTTTTCTCTTTTCTTGGGGAGTATTACAAAAGTAATGTCTGTTCATGTACAACATTTGGTACATATAGAAAGCATAACAAAAAGTATCCATTATCCTATCATTCAGTGACAACTAGTGTTTTTTACATATAATAGTACATATAACTATATTATATCTTCTTTAAGCAGAACTTGCCCTATTAGGCTTCTGAAAGCAAAACTTGTACATAGGTGGTCAATACAGTCAATGAAGGTTTGTTTGTTTTTCTTCAACTCTGGTTGGTTGTAGAACATAAGACTTTCATGTGGAAACTTCCTCATTCCATTAGGACAGATGATTTTCAAACAAATATTTCCCCATGTTACTGGTGACTGGGATCCATCCACATGGCACCTTGGTGAATAACCGGACATGTGCCATGTTACTGTGGATCATGGTGAACCTCAGGAAAGACACAGGTCTTAAAATCAAGGTAAAAGCCAGGTAAAATCCAGGTGCGGCAGGACAGAATCTTATAAGGAAGTCTCTTGCAGCTTCAGAGTTAGCCAGTGAAGGCACAATCAAAGCAGCAGCATCTCCTTTCTTATTACTCCAGGTCGCATGGCCTCCTTCCTCATTATAAACTACACAGCTGCTTGTTTACATCTCCCATCTCACTGCTCTCTTTCAAATGGAGTGGTAAAAATCCCTTACCACAGATAGCATGTCTCCTCCTTCACCGCTGCTTCTCATGGCCAAGAGAGCCCTTTTCCTTCCCAAACTGCATGGCCAAGAGCAGAGGGAGAATTGCTGCTGCACCTTGCTTAAATTCAGGCACCTCCTTAATAACCCCATTTCCGACTCCTCCTACAATCGACTCCATCTGCCAGTTCTCTGTTATCTTCTGCCTTTTTCTAGCTGCCATTGTTAGTGCAGGCAGGCATGGCCCATGACTGGGAGTGAACCCCTTTTCTGCTTCTCTCAGGCACAGCAAGCTTCTCAAGCTATGTCATGAGTCAAAGTCATGCCCATCTCTCTGGCTTAGCACATATATTTTCTTAACTATAACACTGGCCAGCTGGTATTGATACACAAAACAGCTCATCTCCCAGCCTTGGCTGTGGAGGCTTCTTTGGGATTTTTTTTTTTCCTTTTTTCTATATTCCTGAGAGGAGGAGGGGCTTGTCTGGTTCCATGAGTCCCCTAGCTCAAATACTGTTCTGAGCCTCATACCACATCGGTTACACCCAGACTATTTATTTTTTCTCAGACTATGTTGAATTCTTTCTGGATACTCTTATAACATTGGTTTATTATGTACTTGTCCAAAAAATGAGTACTGTTTTTCATTTTAACATTTTTTCCCATGCCTTCATGAGTCCAATATTCCTAGGATTGAATCCAGTACTACTTCCTAGCTGAACGTCCTGAAAGGAATAAGTTAACCTCTAAGCTGCAATTTCTTTCTCTCTAATACAGATATTTATAAGATCCCCTCAGAGGAGTTGTGAAGATTAAATGAAATAAAATATGTAGATTGTTTAGTACAGTAGTTGGCACTTGAATAAAGGTAATGCTACTGCTGATTGCTTTTGTCCTTTTTTTCCTTTCCTTAACAGAATACATCCAAGCAATGATTCTAGTGAATGAAGCCACTAGAAGTAACAATTCAATACTGATAAAGGGTATGTACATTTCTAATCTCAACATAGAGTATTCTCTGATATTTTCTTGATCTGAAGCAGGTCTGCATAATTATGTCAGGCTAATTAATGAAATAATTTAAAATAAAATGTAAGACCTATACTGGTAAATTATATAAATAAGTTTTCCTACTAAATGAAAATCCCTACCTATCTAGTGATAAGAAATGCATACCGTACAAAGCCTCCTAGGGAAGGAATGAACAAATGTATCTCTTCAAAAAAATTTTTGTATACCAAGGGAAAATAGAATTTTAAGACTCCAAACCACTATAATCCAGTTTTGTGTGAAGAACAATACTAGAAAAGAATGTTCTGGTATAGATAAATGGGTGGCAAAATTTTTCATTTCTAGATTATTACTAGACTATAAGTCTTTAAAACTCTAAACAAATTTATTTTAGAATGAATTAATCAAAGATAGTATACCAGGGCTAGACAGAGAAAAAGTGAAAATTACTTTATTAGAATTATTATGTTACAAAACTTAGTCTTTCACTGATTTGCTAAAGTATTGAAGAAGTACATTTACTAGATGTTAATTACTACTAGGAAATATTGTCAATAAATTATAATAATTTTCACTGCTGTAATTTGGAGCTTTAAGGTTTTAAATCTCTGAAAATATAGCTTATCATTATCAGTATATTTTAAAGAAATCTCTTGTTACTGATAAATATTCTCAGTTTCAATAACTAACATTTTTAGAATAGTAGATTCTATAAGGAAACAGTTAAACTATCACACTATCCTTCATTTGCACTTGGAATTAACTCTCTGCCCTTCACCCATTACATTAGTTTTGAAGAAACGCTTTTAAATGCAGGAGGTGGTCAGAAATACAAGTAATTCTAAACAATTCTTGTTTTCTTTCTGAGATAGTCTATTTCCCATTAAAATAAAGTAAGTTGGGTTTTTGTTTCAGTCTTTTAAAGTAATAATTTTCTCAATGGAGATGCTAATTATTATAATTTCATCTTTTTTATGTAGTTCATTTGAAATGTAATGAACTTACTAAAATAAAAGTATGTGTTTGCCAGTGGTAGACCAATGTTTATAAGTGATGGGGAAGTTATGTAATTAACATTTTTGGCAAATACAAGGATTAACAACTTTCTAGTAATAAAGTTTTATGTTAGTATTTTAAAAAATACTGAGACTGGGCAAAACAAAAGGATTTGATGTTGAGGTCAAAACAAGCCATCCCAGAGCCAGTCTACTGTACTCCACAAATCAGAAGTTACCTTTATTTTCCTTGCTTCTGTATAACAAACTATAAATATTTGTAGTATGCTTATACAAAGGATTGGATATCATTTTCTTGACAGAATTTTTTTCCTCTTTCCCCCTTCAATAAATGATTAATTTTAAATTTCTATTTTTTTTCAGTAAATCTTCTTTATTTTCAAATATATTTTATTGATTATGTTATTACAGTTGTCCCATTTTTTTCTTCCCTTTATTCTCCTCTGCCCTGCACCCACACACACCAACACTCTCCCACCCCTTAGTTCATGTCCATGGATCGTATATGTAAGTTCTTTGGCTTCTCCATTTCCCATATTATTCTTCACCTCCCCTATTTGTTTTGTAGCTACAATTTATGTTTCTTATTCTCTGTACCTTTTCCCACATTCTTCCTCCTCCATCTCTCTGCTGATAACCCTTCACGTGATCTCCACTTCTGTGATTCTGTTCCTGTTCTGGTTGTTTGCTTAGTTTGTTTTTGTTTTTGTTTTTGTTTTTCAGGTTCGGTTAATAGCTGTGAGTTCTTTGTCATTTTACTGTTCATATTTTTTATCTTCTTTTTCTTAGATAAGTCCCTTTAATGTTTCATATAATAAAGGCTGGGCAAATGATGAACTCCTTTAATTTGACCTTATCTGGGAAGCACATTATCTGCCTTCCATTCTAAATGATAGCTTTGGTGGATAGAGTAATCTTGGATGTAGGTCCTCGCCTTTCCTGACTTGGAATACTTCTTTCTAGCCCCTTCTTCCCTGCAAGGTTTCTTTTGAGAAATCAGCTGGCAGTCTTATGGACACTCCTTTGTAGGTAACTGTCTCCTTTTTTCTTGCTGCTTTTTTTAAAGATTTTATTTATTTATTTTTAGAGAGAGAGGAAGGGAGGGAGAGAGGGAGAAAAACATCTATATGTGGTTGCCTCTCAGGTACCCCCTACTGAGGACCTGTCCTGCAACCCAGGCATGTGCCCTGACTGGGAATCAAACTGGCTACTGTTTGGTTCTCAGGCCGGCACTAAATCCGTTGAGCCATACCAGCCAGGGCTCTTGCTGTTTTTAAGATTCTCTGCTTGTAATAGCATAATCAATAAAAACAATACTTAAAAACAAACAAACAAAAGATTCTCTGCTTATCTTTAATCTTGGGTAATGTACTTATGATGTGCCTTGGTGTGTGCTTCCTTGGGTCCACGTGCTTTGTGACTCTCTGAGCTTCTTGGACTTCCTGGAAGTCTATTTCCTTTGGTAAATTGGGCATGTTCTCCTTCATTATTTTTCAAATAAGTTTTCAATTTATTACTCTTCCTCTTCTTCTGGCACACCTTTGATTTGGATGTTGGAACGTTTAAAGTTGTCCTGGAGGTTCTAAGCCTCTCCTCATTTTTTGGAATTCTTATTTCTTCATTTTTTTCGGGTTGAATGTTTATTTTTTTCTTCTCCTCCAAACCGTTGATTTGACTCCGTTTCCTTCTCTTCACTGTTGGTTCCCTGTACATTGTCGCCTATTTCACTTTACATAGCTTTTACTTCTTCCTCTGTTTTGCAACCATACTCAACCATTTCTGTGAGCATCCTGATCAATGTTTTGAACTCTGCATCTGATAGGTTGGTTATCTCTTCATTGCTTAGTTCTATTTTTGGACCTTTGATCTATTCTTTCATTTGGGCCATATTTCTTTGTCTGGGTGGGCCTGTTATGTAGTAAGGCGTGGAGCCTTAGGTATTGTCACAGCGGGGCAACCGGTTCACTGGGTTGTGGTGCTATATGTGAGGGAGGGGTCTGAAGGAACAATGTCTCTTGCTCAGCTCTCGGTTGGCTTTCCATCACTTCCCCTGCTAACCGCAAGCATAATTGGGCTCTTTTGGTGCTGTTTCCTAGGTGGGCAGGTTTTTTTGTGTTCTAGGACCATGTGGATCTCTCCAGTGAACTCTCCTGTGAGGCTGGGTGTTTCTCCTGCTACTGCAACCACCACAGATTTTTTTAGTCAGAATTTATGAGGCTTTCTTTCCCCAGGCTGGAACCCTGGGTTTTGAAATCTGTATCACTACCTTGTTGCTCTTCCTGGTTTATCCATACACAAATGTGGGACCACCCAGTGTGCCAGCCACCATCTTGCTGTCCAGGTCCTGCAGCTGCCGCCTTGCCTCATTTCTTCTCCGCCCTGGCTGCCTATCTCGGCTCCTCCTACTAGTCTGGATGAATGTTTCTTTAACTCCTTGGTTGTTGGACTTCCATACAGTTTGATTTTCTGGCAGTTCTGGTTGTTTTTTATAATCAATTTATATAGCTCTCTTCAATTATCAGATTTTAAACCTTCTTTCTTTACCTAAGTAAGTAAAGAAGAGCATTTGTTTTTCCATGAGTCAAGGAGTATTTTTGGGTTATAACTTAAACTTTTATTTACCTAAACTTTTTTTTTCTTTTTATTAATAAGACTGTTCAGCACTAAAGGACTAAGACAAGTGAATAATCCAAGGCATGATGAGAAATCTTTTTTTTTCCTAAGGTCCATCATTGTGTAGGAAACAGCATATTTTTAAAAAAAAAAAATTCTGTAAACCAAACATATGAAGTATTCCACATACCATTTTTCACAATAAGAACTGGAAATCTATAATTTTTTTCATTAAATACATAGCTTATTTCTGTGTTATAGTCATGTTAAAAGAGTAGAATAAGAAAAATGGACAAAAAATAAAATTAAGTTCAAAGAGATTCAGGAGAGACTAAGGGAAATGTGAAAATACAAATGGAAAGACAAAAAGAGGTACCCAGATATCCTACCCCATTACCCTCCCCATAAAATAGGTAATAGTAAAACAATGAGAAAACAAAAGATATATGATATTTCCTCTTTGGGACCTTTTTATAGAGCCTTTAAAAGTTATGTTATTTTTCTGTAAAATACCAGCAGAAATAGGGACATTTAATGTGGACCTTAAAGGTTGATTAAAAATCAGATACAGTTTAGGCCAAACTGGAGTTTCTGCATTAGAAATCTCTTCTTTCTTAAGTCTTATTTCATCCTGTCTTATTTTCTTTTTTTTTTTTAAATATTGACACCTAACTTTTTGGGTCAGTCTTGTTTATCTTAATATGTTTTCAGATTTAAGGACTTCATATATCTCTAGTTAATTAAGATATTATTTAGATATTAGAGTGAATGATTTTTAATTGGTGTACTTGTTCCTGATGTGTGTAGTTTTCTTTCATGTAGGTCATAAGTCTGTGACTGAGAATGAAGAGGAAAACAAATCACATTCATGGCCATCTACATCATATGAAGAATCCTTTCCAGAAGACTGTACAGTTCTGTATGTATATTAGTTAAATCTATTTATGTTCTTAATGCTTTTGCTCTCAGATAGAGATTTACTATTTGTAATCATTTGACAGAAGAGTAGGTAGACTATATCAAAGAAGATTCCACCAAAAGCATTGAAAGTTGTCAATTTTAGTATTTTGTATGGGATAAAGGTTCATTAGTCCCTTAATAGGTTATTTATTTTGTTAATATCCTTAGGTAATCAAGTCTTTCAATAAAATTTAGCTTAAAATGTCTTTGTATATTATTATTATGCTGAAGTCTACCAAATTGTTTTTTCTTTAATATAAAAATCTTTTTCTTGGATTATTTCTGTTAAAGTTGGTATTTTTAAAAGTATTTTTTTTTTCAGTATTGGTTCAGTTTTTAAAATGAGTAACAGCTCTAAATTAGTATCAGAAAGTTTATAAGAATAGGCTACATTTTTCTGATCTTTTCTTCTTTTACTACTAATTTCAGTAAAGATTTTGCAACAGAATTCCTCAGTAGAATTGTATAAAGAAATCTGCCACTCTTGACATTTAGTCTTTATATTTAGTAAGTGATACCTGTACTAAAACTTTTAGGTACTAGTTAAAGGGAAGTTTATGAAAATGTGTTATGCTAGGGTAAAGAACAGAATTTCAAAAATCCAAAAAGTGTCTTTAGAAAGTAAGTTATTAATTTGATTGTCCTTTTAGCTACATATTAAAGTGATGAAAAATATTGTCAATAACCCTGACTGGTGTGGCTTGGTTGGGTGTTGACTGCGCAAAGCAAAGGATAGCTGGTTTGATACTGGGTCAGGGCACATGCCTGGGTTGTGGGTTCAGTGCAGGTTGGGGTGCATACAAGAGGCAACCATTTGATGTTTCTCTCTCATATCCATGTTTCTCTCCCACCCTTTCTCCCTGTTTTTCTCTTTCTCTAAAATTTAATAAATAAAATCTTCTTAAATTGTCAATATAGAATTCTTTTTTCTTTTGATGATGAGAGTTGTTGATTGACACTCTTACATATGATTTGCATTTACAAATATTACAGGTGTCTTTGCAGTTTGAGTCCAGAAGGCTCAAAATTTATTTCAAAAAGCTGTCAGAGAATGCTAAGTTCACAGTTTTAAAACTAAAAAAAAAAAACCCAGATTTTATTATTTTTAGACATAGAGGAAGGGAGGGAGAAAGAAAGGGAGAGAAACATCATTGTGTAGATGTTTCTCACACCCCCCAACTTGGGACCCATCCTGCAACCCAGGCATGCCCTGACTGGGAATCAACCAGTGACTCTTTGGTTTACAGGCCAGTGCTCAGACGTCCACTGAACCACACCAGCCACAGCGCAGCAGTTTTAAACTTCTTTAACTGGTTGTTTCAATAGCCTATTTCTGACCTTCTTATATATAGCATAAAATTTTATTACCTTTAACACTCTAACTCACTAAAATAGATTTTTTACATAAATTACCACCAAACTTCCCCATCTTATGTTTATATAATATTTTAAACCTAAATGAGTTGGTTAATTCTTAAGTGCCTCCTTTTTTGTTTTAAGTTTATTGTTTTAGCTTATCAAAATCCTTTTGGTTTTAAATCTCTTATATTTTCTTACTAGCTTTTCATCTTGTACAAATATATTAAATAAGCTTTCTAGTCTTTATTGTAGCTCACTGCTAGAGACCTTTTTTCATTACTCTTCAGAAAGAACTGTTCAACCAATTGGGAATTTAGTTAGCTGTACCATTGTCCCACTACATTCCTCTGTTTTAAAAGATTCACTGCTGTAGCATTCTATATTATTACCAAAGTTTATCAACCCTTATCAAAAAGGATAATTATTTGTATTTTTTCATACCTTGTCCATGTTGGCTTTTCAAATTATAAATAGTATTTAAAACTTGAATGCCCAATTCTATTTTTTAGAATTCTTTAGGGATTAATATTAAGCTAATCATTCTGTACTTTCTGGAATGTTCCATTTTAAAAACAAAAATCAGGGCAATAGTTTTCCATTTTTCATTTATATTTAAAATGTCAGTACATTGTGATTTAATTTGTTTGGGCCTAGAATCTTAAATATGTTTAAAACTAACATTCTAGGATCTATTTTTAACTATCACAGACTTCAATTTCTTCTCATTTTTATCTGGTCTTTCCAACTGAGGGCAGTGATAGTTATAGATAAAAAAGGCAAAGACTAATTGTTTTTTGAACTTCTCCTCTCTGTTATCAGTTAACTTATTATGATCTTTCCCCAACAGATTGTCATCTTGTTCCAAACATAGCTTGAAAAATTTTGCTATTTTAACACGTTTGGAAATTTTAGTTCTTAGTAGGCTTGAGCCTTTGTGACACTTTTCTTTATTTTGTACATATTCTTTTAAACATCTGAGCTTCCCAGAGAATGATTGGCTTCTCTAATCGCTTTCTTATCTCATTAAGATTATTTGTGATTGCTTAATTAAGACTTGATTTCCTTAGAACCCACAGTTCTTATGCTTCTTCCCACTCAGAGTCTTTTTCCGTAAGATATTATACCTAACTTTGAGTTGAACTTTCTGAGATCTTTTCATTTAAAGGGACGAGTCTATTTAGGCTCAGGATTTTCTTACATAGCCATTTCGAAGTCCAAGACCACATTTCAATCTTGAACAGAATTATGTTTAAATAATTCTTTTGTATTTCCTCTGCAGATCATGAGTTTATTACTGTTTTACTTTCAGTAGTTAAACCTCTAGCAGGCCAGTAGCACATAGGCAAACTGGCAAACTAAATGGTGAATAACTTAAGCCACAGGCTCTCAACCCCAGCTGAATTGCTTAATGTCATATAATTTGTCAATGACAAACCAGAGTGAAAATCTTTAGTCTGGTAGGAATCTGGCTTTCTATATTTCATTCTTGAGTTTAATTTCCACTCCATATAAGTGAGCTATGACATAGGTAAATATAAAAATATATTTAGTCCAACGATAATTCTTTTACAAAGATACCTACTTTTGTGATGTTAGGATACCTGTCTTAATACTTTTTCTTAATTAAGTACTTTGGTTTGTGAGGAACACACAGCCAGCTTAATTAGTGGAGTTTACTAGAGATATACCTGGTATGTAGCTTTGGCTAACATACATGGTGAAAGTGAGCATTTCCCCACAGCTAAAAGACCCAGGTGTGAGTTTAAGCCATTTGGCTTTACATATCACATGCACACAAACACTCAAGAGAGCTTATTTTTTCAAACACACAACACAGCCCTGACCAGTGCGGCTCAATGGGGTTGGGCATCACCTGTGAACCAAGAGATCGTAGGTTTGATTCCTGGTCAGGGCACATGCCTAAGTTGTGGGCCAAGCCCCTGGGTGGGGGTGTGCAAGAGGCAACTAGTCAGTGTTTATCTTGCACATTAATGTTTCCCTCCTTCTCTTTCTCCCTCCCTTCCCCCTCTTTAAAATATAAAGAATTAAAAAAAAAACTAAACACACAACACACATACACTCCTAACCTACACGAATATACATTCACACACACTTATAAATAAAATAGGTGTTCAAGAACAGAAACTGTAACATAACAAGCCATATAGAGCCTAGAATTGAAACTGGAAAATCAGTACCAGAGGTTCAAGGTCCACATTGCTGAGATCTACTTCTTTTTTGTTTGTTTGTTTAAACTGATTGTTTGTTTGTTTGTTTTTCAACTACAGTTGTCTCTGTTTTCCCCCATCCTCCCCCATCCCCACCTTCTACCCTCAATCCTACCCCTCTTTGACTTTGTCCATGGATCCTTTATACACGTTCCTTGACAACCCTTCCCCTTCTTTCCTTTTTTATTCCCCTTCCCACTCCCCTCTGGTTGCTGTCAGTCTGTTCTTCATTTCATTGTCTCTGGTTATATTTTGCTTGCTTGTTTGTTTTGTTGATCAGGTTCTGCTTGTAGGTGAGATCATATGGTATTTGTCATGAGATCTTCTCTGTATGGTATCAGTTGGTTCTTCTGATTCCACATAATCTAACATGATATGCCCCAGCTAAATACTACATGATCTTCTATAAGTGTTACCTTGATATTTTTTTATATCTTGATATAAATTTTTGAGAGAGACCGTTAATAGCGCAGTATGAATACATGATCCAATAGATTTGTGTACACTGAAATTAAAATGGCCATCTTTCTGAAGAGGATGACGAAAGAAGGAACTGAGCAGAAAACAGATGTGTCTACTGCCGTCTTTAAGATGAATATAGTTTACATTCATTTCTTAAAGTGTGTCCCTTCAAAGATCATAAAGGATAAAATGACTTTTTGCCTCAGACTTTCTAAAAGCTAGAAAATAAGCTGGCAATCTCTGAAGCCACACTTTGCCTTGTAGTTCAAGGTGTTTAATGACAAAACAGTTCTTAAGCAACATACAGACTCAAATGCCTCTACTAAGAGGCTGGCATATGAGTACAGATAATAATACCAAATAACCATTCTTTCCTACTTACTCTTTGTTTATCTCCAGCCTTTTTGTATTTTTAGAAGGCCAATAACACTACTCATAGGATGTTTTCTTTATTGTTTTATCCAGTAATATATCTTCATACATATAAGAAAGTTAATCTTCCCCCCCATAAAATGGGATTGAAATTAAATTACTTTACTCCTGAGACTTTTGTCTCATTACTCCTGAGACTTGTTTCAGGAGTAAGTTGGTTTTTGTTCATTTATGTTATGAGATGAGGCACAGATAAGAAAAGAATCATTTATAAGGACCATATCAGTGTTTCATTTCCATGTTTTACTGCTTATCTTTCTAACTCTTCTTAAGTATAAGAAGATGTTTGTCCTTTAATTTTTATTAAATTTTAGTCACCAGAATACCTCTTTGAGCCAGGTTTGCTAACTTTTTTAAAATCCTAAGTTCCAAATTACAGATTTTTACCAGCATGTTCATTATTATAAATTTTAGTCCAAATTGTTATAATTGTATATTGTTCCAGTAATAAGTAACTTGGAGCTGTATTTATTGTCAC